CACACTATATTGGAAATTGAAGTCTTTTAAACGGTATAACATAATCATCACCATAACGTAACACTGGTACTTCATGTTGGATTAAATTAATTTAATTTTTAATTATTCAAGATATCTAAAATTGTATCTTAAATTTCTCCTAATCGATATCGTGAGGGCCGAATTGTATGTATTCATCCCAACTTTCCAATTTGTTGTACTAAAGTAAAATTTTTATAAATTTTAAAAACATTGTGGGAAGATTAGTAAAACATGCAAAGAAGTTATATATTGTAAAAAAGCTATATTGAAAATTTAATATCCGAATCTTGTGTTGGCGCCCCCTAAAGCGTGCGTTCGTAATTTTTTCCATTTATTTCTACAATATTGCACATACATCCCAGTACTTTATAATCACATACATCCTAGAAAATTTTGTTAACAAACTTCAGAAAGATTTATCAAAATCCGAATAATAGTTTAGAAGGAGTATACAGTAAGTGCTTGTAATTTAATATGAACTTTAATAGCAATAAATCTCCAATTGATTCTATGTTTTAGTTAGAAAACGTTTGTATGAGAAAAAGAAAAGTCTCTTCGTCTTCGTCTTTTTTCTTGTCGTAAGAACCATCCTTGGACTTCAACGAACATTTTAAAAAAAGAATTGGCCAAATTGGTCCAGGCGTTGTTGAGTTATGCGCTTACCGACACATTTTGCGATTCATTTTTATATATAAGATATAATTTCTGTTTTACAGATAAAATTTTTCAATACAATTAAAATACTTTTTGCTCTTATGACTAAGTTTACTGATTGTGAGACTAACCTCTCCTAAGTTGATGAACCCGTGATCTCTAGCCACGAGATTAGCCTTCTCCTTGCCTCCTGGTATGTGCACCGCCCATGTGGATGTAAAGTGTCCCAAATCCTCTGTCCTTACAGGCAAAGCACATAATGTAACCACCAACAAAACACACGCCCAAATCACAATCACTACACCACTGTCGCGCATTGTTTACCTCAACTAGCCAACACACCGCCCTGTGTACCTCGGATTCCACTTCGAAGCCTGTACAGTACACTTTACAGTTTTTTATTTTATTTCTATTCATACAAGCTCGATTCGGAAGATCACTACCCTGAGATCACCTACACAGAATCACTTGTTCGCGTCTTAATGCTGGACCACAGTCTGAGTCATGCGACAACTTGCTTTTAAAAGACATGTGCTCGATTTAAACTTTCAATTAATGAAATAAGTAGCTAATTTAAAATGCTATGTAAGATAATATATCATCATTAATCAATAATATTGATGAATGTTCTTTAACTGAATATTCGTTTAGCAGGTGATTTATATATTGAAACCGGTATGCTTTGAACAAACGCTCATTTATTATTTCAGCGACGACCTTTGTAAATGCTAACTATTCGCAACAGGTTTAAATTCAAAATCAGGTTAACGGTTTATGTAAACGTAAGCAAATATTAATTAAACATTAATATATGTTGTATTAGTGTCACGGTAAATGTTATATTAATGTCAAGTCTTCGGAAGGTAAGCAATACAACACAAGAAATCACAGAATTATGAGGCGCTTAGATCTGTGCCCATCGCGCGTGAACTCGACTCTCACTATATTCCATCACACAACATAAATAACTGTACTTTAAATGCCATTTAAAAATACTGACGTGTGTCGTTTTTTTTTAGGCCGATGGGGATAAAATGTTATTGTTTCATTTAGCACGTGACAGATAGGCTACAAAAATGCATACATCCATTTTCACGTGTTTCACTCTTGCACATCTATTTATAGGTTATCCTCAAAGAAAAAACGTAGCACGCACGCCGCCACACCGTTCCCATGACCGCTGCAGCACGACTGAAGACTGAAGTACACAGAGCGAGCCGGCGCGCGTGGTCGCCATTGCCCGATACCAGAGTTTGGCACTCGGCGCAGGTACAATCGAGCGCACAAGTTTTTATCTGCTCTCGCAGTTCATCTCGCAGAGCGCATGAGTTGCCTATGAAATGTCATTACTTTAATGTTCACAAAAAATACTATCAAAATTCAATCAATAAGCGCATTGACATGTCATTTTCGACACAGTTCGGATGCTGCACTGCACTTATTTAATCATCAAAACTAGTGGTGCATGGCATCGTGCCTTAAGGCAAATTGCTGGAACTTCCCGTACTGTAACGAAATGTTCGAGGAATACTGAATGTTTTCAAATAGATTATTATAAATATTGTAACATTGTCTTATTTGTTTAAACTATATTAGAACTTTAGTCAGAATTAAAAATAAAATCTGAATTATTTTCGATATACAAAAAAAAATTAAACAATTTTTTTTCCAAAATCAATTATTTTGTTAAAACAAGCTGAAAGTTCTTTGAATCATTCAAATCGGACCCTTAGTTCTCTTAAAAACTGCTTTTTTTGCACATTTAGCAATGTATCTCCGAAACCGCTGGACCTGCCTTTGCCAAAAACTAATAATCACTTTTCCCAATCACCACTAATTGAATGTTTTTTAGATCATTTAAATCGGATGCTCCGTTCACTCAAGAACTCGATTTCTATTCTATGCACTCTTTGCTCCGAATCTCCGTAACGGCTGGACCTGCCTTTTCCAAAAACTAATCAGCTCATTTCCCTATCAATAGGAATGGAATGTTTTTGAACCATTCAAATCGGTTGATCCGTGCGCCCGAAAACGTGACTGGAAATTTGTATCCATAAATACATACACACACACACACATCCATTTTTTCTGAGGTATGCCAAAATGTTCAGAAACCTTAAAAACGTCGAGAAATGTAAAAATTTTTAATTTCGATTTTCGGTCCTACGGGAAGTTAAAAAAAAACTTTAAAATTTGGATTTTTTTATTTTTTCCCTGTATCTTCAAAACGGCTTGACCTGCCTTTGTCAAAAACTAATCAGCACGTCTTCTTTATATTAGGAATCGAATGTTTTTGAATTATTCAAATCGGTTGATACCTGCTCACAAAATCGCAGACGAAAAAGTGTATCCAAACATACATACATATACATACACACACATACATCTATTTTTTCTAAAGTTGCCAGAATGTTCAGAAACCTTTGAATCGTAAAGATATATCAAAATTTTCATTTTCGATTTTTTTGCGATTACTAAAACTTACTCTATGGGAAGTTGAAAATGGAAAGTTATTTGTAAGTAATCATAATTTGCTATCAATTAGCAGTTATTTTTTGAAAAGTAATTAAAAACTAGTGGTGCATGGTATCGTGGCTTATAAAATATTTGAAAAAGATTTTTTTTTAACTGAAGAAATTAGGTTCTGAGAATTTTGAATATTTTAAAAAAAAGACTTTTTCTAAAAGGTTTAAATTTTTTCTTATGTTTTAAAATTTGTTGAAAATTTTAAACTTTTTTTTTCAAAGCAATCGCGCTGCGTAACTGTTTAGTGGCTCATTCTAACCGATAAACATTCGATAGGTTTCGTAACCTATGAAAATATAAACAAAGTTTTTGCTTAAATTAAAATTATTTAATTATCTGTTAACCTGTTAATTTGATATGTTTAATAATCATTTTTGACCGCCAAATGGCATTTTTTACTTTTTTTTATTATATCTCTGAAACCGCTGGACCCGTCTTACCAAAATTTTAATCAGTTTTTCGCTTCATCTGTACAAATAAAATGTTTTTTTGAACGATTCAAATCGGATGCTCCGCTATCTCACAAATTGAATTTCTGAAACACTTTACCCGTATCTTCGAAACGGCTGGGCCTACCTTTGCTAAAAACTAATCACCACTTGTAAATTATTCAAATCGGTTGATCCGTGATCCTGAAGTTGTCGACAAAAATTTGTATCCGCGCGCACTAACATATACACCTAAGTCTGTTTTTACACGGAGATTGGTTCCAGAAGAAGCCGTGTAAAAAAACGTGTAAAAAAAGACATTGATCTTATACAAAAATGGGTGATTTGTCCTACTCTCTAAAACCTATTAAAATTAGTGAAAAACAAGAATTTTCAAGAACAAGAATTCATGTTTATTTTAATAATAATTCCCCTAAATTAGTGCTATTCACATTTGCTTTGATCAGTATTGTTTGTACGCGCTAAAGGGGAATTCACTTAAATCTTTAAGCTAGTGTTCGCAAACTATCGATACTATCGATGGTTTCAGACTTTTTTCTTTCATAAATACTTTTTTGTGATATGAACATACTTCGCAAAAATTAAATTTGACAAAAAAGTTTAAGTACATAAATTTTCAAATCGTGCTAAATGGAATAAAATCGTGTAAAAAAATTAAAAATATTCAATTTTCAAACCGTGTTATATCAAAACCGTGTAAAAAAAGACCGTGTAAAAACAGACTTAAGTGTACTTCCATTTTTTCTAATATAAGGTATGCCAAAATGTTGAGAAACCTTTGAAACGTAAGATATATAAAAATTTACTATGACGATTATTATAACTTACCCTACGGAAAGTTAAAGATGTGGAAGTAATTTATAATTGTAAGTAATCATAATTTGATATTTATTATTAGTTATTATTTCAAACGCAATTAAGAACAAAAAAGATTGATTTTTATTAGCACGTTCGGCATGTGTTTTATTAGCATGTTCATAAGCGTGTCTCTTTTTTCTTCCTAAATAATGCACTAAGAGTCATTGATATCCTTCTGTATAAATTTCATTTCTTTTTGAAAATTGACGAAAGATTTATTTTATGTTAACTATAAATATAGTATTACAAAAATGTAAATATATATTATTGGACTAAGTCATATACATACACCATATTGCTAATGTACTCAATCTTTAAAAAATATTTTACCAATAAATGTATTTTATCAGTCTGTTTCAGGAGCAGCCTTTAGTTTTAAATTATAATTAGTGCCTATTAATTACAATCACCACTTTGTGTTTGCTTCATTTTAAAGCAATGGCATCACATTTATATATATATATATATATATATATATATATAATATTAACATTACTTATCCGCTTTCTTTTTTTTATTTGCTCGAGCCTTTTTAGGCATTAATTTTTTTCTAAATAAATTTCCTCGCCACCAAGTTTGAATTAATAATGTCATAAGAGTTTTTTTCTGCAAGAACTTTCTCTCGTGTTTGATCTCCAAATATTCTTCAATTTGCTCTTGTTTTTCATTGTAAATAGCTCGAAGGGTTGTTAATTCCTTCTGGAGAGCTTCCAATTTCTCTTTTCTCATCAAAATCATTGTATCGTACTCTTCAACATCTGAATCATAACGGTCACTCCAATCTCTGACTTGATTTTGTAAATCCGTAGTCTGTCTTTGAAGAAATTCTATTATTTCACTATCAACTCGATTCTCTAGCATGATATTTTTTTTATTGGATTGGGCAGATTGTTCTAAATTCATTTCAGTTTGCTTAAGTTTAATTTGGTTTTGCTCCCTACGTGCACTTTCATATTTATCTACCTAAAAAAATATTTGGTAAACTTACTAAAAAAGCTTTATAAATTTTATTTTCATAAAGTAAACTTTTAATTTCTAATTCAAAACAATATAAAATATATTTCCATTGCTCACCAAACGTTTCTGGATGTTGGCAAACACTTGACTGTCAAGAATTTGAGACTTTGCTCTTTCTTCATTGTTATCTCTTGCGCCTTTGGAAAGTGTTCCGAAATATTTTTCAATATTCAAAATATGATATTGAACTTTTAGAAGTCCTTGTAAATCGCGACTTTCATTTAAAACAGTTTTCCTTTCGTTTACTCGAGATTTAAAAAATCTGTTTTTAAAATAAATAATTGTTTTAATAAACAGAGAGACAATCTAGATAGATCATTGTTGATTTATAAAATAAATTTAATTTTCTCACTATAATATTCACTTAAATGCTTTTCGTATATTTCTAAATCATTTTTATAATTTTATTACATTGCGTAATAGAAAAACATGTGACATAAATATAGGGCGATATTTTACAAACGAATTATGAATAAAAAACTTATATTCTGATCATATGTATTTTTAACACTTACGGGACGGCACCGATTTCAAAACAATTTATTGTACCGGCTGTATACTTGATTTCATTGTGTATGTAATGCAATTTGTGTGATAAAAATTTGTGATCATTGAAGGACATACATTTATAATATTTATTTATTTTTGATCATTTTATAAAGAATGGTGACGTTCAAAACAATTTCCAAAATGCATAGCTGGTTGATTTGGACATGTTTTACAATAAAATATTGTTCGCCTTCCTCCTGGTGCTTTTCTGTCAGAACAGACAATTCAATCCCTTTTCTTTCTCTCGCATTTAGAATATGCCACTGATTAGTCAGTATATTTGTTCATTATTGTGCTGCCATAATGGTTTGTTTTTTCTATTATATTGTCTAATAATTCATTTGTAAAATATAAAGTAAAATTTTCTATTGGATGTCTTATATTGCTTGGTATTTGTAGTCAGGGTGTTTGTTGATGTATGTCAAACTCGATTATTGAAGGAGAAGCGTCTGTATGAATATCTATTTGAAACTCATCTTCACTACTGCTTGATTCACAAAATTTACCAGTCGTTTTGCCATATTTAAAAGCGCTCGGTCGTTATAAATATTAAAAAAAGACTATATATCAAAGAAAAAGGTTAAAAATACTACTAAAATAACTTAAAGTTATTTTCAAAATACAACACTGTTTATCACTGCTATACGTAATTTATTCAACTTTTCGATGCAAACTGAGTCATTGTTTATAAAATAGCCTGTGCCTCACAAAGTTTGTTTGTCCACTCAGGTGGACAGCCGTCCCCAAAGTGTTAATAAAATGTCTAGATTAGATCATTATTTTTAAAGTGTACAATTATTATTTACCTGAGATATGCCTGCATAGGTGTAAATGTTTGTGATTGATTCAGGTCGGCAAGTGTGTCCTCCATACCTTGGGTGATAAAATTGCGATCTGATTCAAGTTTTGCTCTTTCATATCTCATAAGTTCTGTATGTTTTTCCTTCAAAGTATTTCTATCATATTTATGCTTATGTCTAGAATAAGTGGCAATCCTGGAAGGCTCCTTGAAATATATAAAAATCTTGATTATTACAAATAGATTGTAACAGATAATTGGTAATATAGATATTTAATAATAAAATTAACATTCAATTAATTTCATACAATAATTTTAGTTGAAAAAATAATCGTAATCAGACATCATTTTAAAATATTTAATAGTATTATATAGTATTATAACTTTTATATTTGGTTTTGTATATTTATGCAAAAACTAGACAAATAAGATAATTAAAAAATATAAATACATTTATATTATACAGCGGTGGCCTCGGTTTCAAATCGTTCTTCCCCATGCATAGAAGTTTATCCATTGTATTTTCGAATATACAAGAAATTAAAAAACTCTCGAATCTAAAAACAATTTATTAAGAAAACATGATGAGTTTATTGAAGTGTTGATTAATTTTATAAAATTTGAAATTGATTGAATTATTACATAATTCGTCGAATTTCAATCGCATAGCACAGTTGAAGACAGAATTTTATTTTTAATTTGTGTGTACTGTACACTTGAATTTCGTTTATCTTTTAAAGAAAATGCAGAATGTCAGTGAAAATGTGAAGAATTAAATATAGCTTAGCATAATAAAATATAATGATTTATTTGCGTTCTAACCAATTTTTTATAAAATAAGTATAATAATGTGAAACAAAAAATTAGTAATTTTGCATTTTATTCAGTATCGTTGAATATTTGGTATTAGAAAAACTAGTTTAAAACTAGTTCAAACCAATAATAATATTTTATGAGCACTTAGGCATTCGCAATGTACAGTTGCTTGTAAAACGACAGGCACCAGATTTTGGGAGAACTGCTATCAATTATTTTCTTGCACATTATAGCATTTAAATGATAAAATTGTGTACCTTGAAAGCTTTTTGCTCTTTTTAATATAACTATCCCAGTATTCCATTGGAATCTCACGACCTTGTAAAATGGCCATCCAGCGTTCCATGGCTTCTTCACTGTCCCTGCTATCAGTTAAGGAAGAGTCTGAAGAATCATCGTTGTCTACCAACGACAGAAACGTTTTCATAAATGGAACACTCGTCAAGGTTTGGTCAATGGACATTTTTAATGATATATTATTTTACGAAAACTTCAACAGAATTAATCATAAAAAATATATTAGAAATTTTAAAAAATATTCAAAAACAGCATTAACAAAATATAATTTACACCAAAACAAAAATAAAATTTTGACAAGATAATCATTGAGATGGCGATTTAAATTTTTGATGTTGACTTGTGATTATAACGTTCACAAATTATATATATATATATATATATATATATAAGAGTAAAATATATGTTAATAAGTATTTATGAAATTGGTATTTCTATGAAACCCATGGTGTAACAACTTACTGTTAGTATCCTACTCTGCCCTGAGCTTGATACAGATTTTGAATTTAGTGATTTCATTCAGTGATAGGTAAACACTCATCTAAAATTGAATACATATTCTTAATCATCTGCAGGAATGACATTATGGAAGGCTTATCGTTCAGTTTCCGCCGTCAGGAAATTTAAACGGAAATGACGCACAATTTTGCTCTTCCTTATATAAAGTTGAGACCGAACACCGCCATTCAACTTTTCTGATAAAATTCTGAGATGTTCAAATGCGTTCGTTACATTGTGTGTATAAAAAATAATTTTCATACAAATGTCGAATTTGGTTATGGGATTAATTAAAACTATTTCTAAATCAAATATCCATAAATTATTAAAGCAACAGAAAAGAAACAAAGGTTTCAAAAATTCACAAAATGCACATTAAATTTTTTTATTTTGCCATTACATAAATAATTTTTGTTAAATTATAAAAAATAAATTAAAACTATTTATTTCAAAACTAAATTATTACTGTCATTATATTGTAAAATGAATAATTTATCACTATTATATTTCTACTGCTGAATTCGTTTGTTTTTACTTTTTTACTTCTTGGGTTTTCCTTTCCTCTTGCCTCGTTTAGGCATAAGGTTTTGTCTGAATACCAATCCGCGCCACCAACTTTGCAACGCCAAGGACATTCGAACTTTTTTATTGAACATTTCTTTTCCATGTTTGATTTCTAAATATTCTTCGATTTTTAATTGTCTCTCATCGTAAATTGCTTTAAGTTGTGCCAATTCCTTCTCGATTAGATCTAAAGACTCCTTTTTCATAATGATCCTGGTATCGATCTCTTCTATCTCAGAATCATATTTTTCACTCCAGTCTTTAACCTGTGTTTGATAGTCATTAATCTGCGTACGTAGATATTCACTAATTTCGGAATGAATTCTAGTATCTATTTTCATTTTTTGCTTATTGTTTTTAGTAGAATCTCCTAAAGCCTTTTCAGTTTGACTTAATTTTAAATTATGTTGTTCTTTTCTGGACCCCTCGTGTTTGTTTATCTTAATTTGAATAGAAAAGATAAAATTTAGTTACGTTTGCTCATTTCTATCACACACACACACATATTAATATATATATATATATATATATATATATATATATATATATTTAATTTGAGTTGAAAAGTCGGGCGTTACATTAATAAAAATAGTATGAGAGTTTTTAGAAATTTATTTAAAATCCATACGTTTCGGCTAGCATCTTAGCCTTTATTCAGTGGCGATCAATTTAAAATTTTGTATCCTAATAATATTAACAATAATAAATGGTAGTCAGCCTGAAGGCAGGTTCATGGCGCGAGAGCCACCACAAATGAATGATTTCCTTACCCTCGTCGTCTCACTCCAACTACCACCATTCTGCCCCCCCCCCCTTTTTACAATTTTTGCATGTGTTTTCATATGTATATATATAATATATATATATATATATATATATTTGTGTGTGTACTATGTACTTATGTATGTGTATGTAGTTTATATGTATATATATATATATATAAATTATCTTTAAGAACATGAATACCTTGCACTATTTTTATTATATTATCCTATTAAATATTGTTCAAGTTTGAGATATAATATATATATATATATATATATATATATATATATATCAATTAAATAGCGCAAAAATAGATTTAAATAGGTTCTTAGTTAGGAATCAAAAGAGTAAGTTGAAAACACACAATTCTGCACATGCAAACATAAAGTTTAATTACATTCAAGTTATAAACGTTAAATATTCTAAGGAATAAGTACGTATTACACAAATTAATTATATTAAAATGTATATTAAAAAATAATACTTCTTACCATACGGATTCCAATTTGGTTTAAAATATTGGTATCCAGAATTTCATTTCTTAACTTAATGATCCCTTTATCTAATAAAAAGTTTGTAGAGCTTCCAATATAAGACTCAATTGAAATCATAGTATTGTGAGCTTGTAATAAATTCTGTTGATCTATACTTTTTTGAAATACAGAATTCCGTTCATCTATTTCGAATTGGAGATATCTAAGGGAAAGAAATGATTAGTTTATATTAATGTTAATGATACAAATATTAATTTAACTTTAATGTTTCCATGGCTGCAGTAAAACACTGTCTTTCTAGCAGATCATATCTCGTTTCTAGAAATGTTCGTTTCCAATATCTGCGATCCAATTGGTGATTAACATCACGGTATCTTCGCTTTGTCTCTGGCAAATCTGTTCTCTTCATAGTATCTTGATCATAAGTTAATTTACGCTCTTCTGGTTGCCCCTATTAAAGATTGATGTAATAATTAAATCAGTAATATTCATTACTACATTACTAGGTGTAAGTGGCATTTAAAACAAGTTGCATGAATAAATATTAAGACAAAATTTAGCTAGACAAACTGATCAACGGTTTATTTAAATAATCAAGTGTTTGCTTTCTCTAAAATATAATCAATTCAAATTTCAATAGCTATCTCTCAAACTTATGAAATCTATAATTGTATTATTTAGCGAGCAAGCACGGGCTCATATGACCTCCTATATTTTCTTCTTTGAAAGTTAAAAAATTCAATGTAAATAACTAAAAACTTCTACTTAATCTAAGTTGTTTCACTTTACCTGATACATTAATAATTCAGGAGATGTAAAATATAATTAATTGCAAATTTTAGATAATGTTAGACAAGTAGCAAATATGTGGAAATTTGAAGTCTAAGAAGTCAAAATACATGTTTTGGATATAAATTGAAAAAATGTGGAATATATATGCATAGTCGCATAGTTAATTCAAATTAAAAATTAAAAATTAAGACATTCATATATTAATATCTTCTAAAGAACACTGAGTTTTTATTAAACCTGTAAATACCCTACATTTACATATCTAATAAGGGGCAAGTTTAAGGTACTATATACTCACTTGGAGCATGTTCGGTTGTTAACCGTTAAATCTAGCTGTTTGCGAGCTATTCGGTCTTCTAAAATTGTCAACCATCTACTAACTTTCCTCTTCGACTCCACAAAATCAGGCTTTTTCGGCTCATCGGTTTCCACTTCATGTTCGTCTTCTATGGCTGCATAGGCTGCATAAGCCTGCATGAATGAAACATCTTCTGATTCCAAACGAGCGCTTCTCATTTTGGTTTTTTTAATTAATCTTCAATAAAATTGTCAGTATCTAAATTTACGCAATTAAATAAATTTTAAATTCCTTATATTCAGCATATAAAACAAAAAAAATATTTTTGAATAAATAGTAATAACGACGGAACTATTAAAACCGAATAAAATGTGATGTGAAAATAAAAAAAATAAAAAAATTACAAATACTTTGGAAAATCTATTCCAGCGAAAAAAATAAAAACGTCAGATTTCGTGATGTTGCTTAAATAATCTAGTTGCGTTGACATCATCATATATTGTTTGTTAATCGTAAATTAAATAAAATTAGTTCAATGTTTTAATATATTATATTTGGTCGTTCTTAGATGTGCTAATAATATATTATTTTATATAATGCTTGCAAAAATCACTAAAAAAAATCGTGATTTAAACTTAAGCTTAATATAATATTTAAAAAAAAAATACAAAAACGAATGCAATTTTTAATAATAATACCAATTACACCATTGTCTAGGGACAGAGACGAGCAACGTTTCAAACTCACGGGCTGCATATAAATTCTAAAATTTTGTGTTGGGCTGCATTTATTAATAATTTACAATGCTTAATATATACTAATAAACATTAATTAATAAAAAAAAAAATACGAACTGATGGTGCATGGCATTGGGCCCTAAGCCTAATTGCTGGAACTTCCGAGAAAAACATACGAGAAATAAAACTAATCAATAAATAATAAAAATTGTTTGGTGATTAATAACAATTGCTTTGTATATTTTCAAATAGTTTATTATAAATATATACTGTAAATTTTACCATTCATATTTTATAGGCCTACATTTTTACTGTAATAAACAGCTTTGTACGATATGTTGCCTAAATTGTACTGAACGGGCGATTACCTTGCAGTAAATATACTTGCGTAAGGTGCATCGAGAAATTCAGTATATGTACTTCTATTTCACTCTACTTATTCAATAAAAAATAAATTAATTTATAAGTGATTAAAAGTATTCCAAGTGGTTTTATTACACATAATTGAAAACGAACGAACACGTTAACTCGGAGTATTTTCTAAAAGCAAATTTTCAAAAAACAATAATTTTTATAATTAAACCAGTTTTCGCAAGACTTTAATGGTTTAGTATGTTCATTAAAACCAATTACTCTATCGTTATACCAAGTAAATCGTCTAATTTTAATTTTAACAAACGTCAAAAAAAACTACTCATTTTCTCAAATTTTGATGAATTTTTAAAATTAAACTTCTTTTCGTAAGGCCGTAATATTTCAGTAAGTTCTATAAGACCATGATATATATCGCCAAAAAAAAGTTCCATAAAAATCAGCTTAAATTTTCTTTCAACAGTTAATTACAAGAAAACGGCTCGGTAGATTTTAACCTAAAACTAATCAGTGTTATATTCCCAACTAATATCATTCGAACAGTTTTTGATTTTTTAAAATCGATTCGGTGGTATGAGCCTAAATGTGGTCGAAAAGTTTAACACTATTTTAAAAATGGCAAAGAAACGGCTCGGCAGATCGTCGCACAAAACTGACAAACGTTGTCCTCATTGAGATTTTCATTCATTCGGTTCAGGCGTTTTTGAGCAAACGTCGATGAAAGGTCTAATTTTGACAAATGCCAAAAAGCGATACCAATCTTTGCAAACTTTGACGAATATTCAAAGTTAAACACGTTGTTGAAGGGCTGTAATATTTTAGTATGATCTATAAGACTATGGTATCTGCCGTCAAAAAAGAGAAATAAAAATTGTCGAATTTTTTTCGAACACTTTATTACAAGAAAACGGCCCGGCCGATCTTTACCAAAAACTATAATCAGCACGTTTCCCAACCAATATCTTTCGAACGGTTTTCAAACTTTCAAAATTGCGAGCTAAACGTGAGCTAAAAATTGGCTGATCGTCACACAAAACTAACAAAAAATAGTCCACATTGAGATACATCGAATGGCTTTTAAATTTTTGAAATCGGTCCAGCCGTTCAATCTGTGAAATGTCTGTTCACACACACATTTGATGAAAACAAACTTCTCCTTCAGATAATATACATGTTGATTAATATAAGGGGTTACACCACTGTAGCAGCCAAAAAACGTATATTTTTGCCATTTCTTTTCGGTCGGAAGGAAAAGTAATAAAAACATGATATTGAAGATAGTTATTCATTGTACTTTAAAGTAACTAAATAAAATATAATTGTAAAAAATAAAAAACGGCGGTACCGTACTGAAGTTGCACGAAGATATGATGAATTTTAAAAGAAGACACAAAATTCAAACACAACCTTTTCTTTGTGTAAAACATAAATAGTATGTAATTAAAAACAGTTTACATATTTCATATTGTTATACTTTTCATGAATGTAAGATTGAGAATTTTAATTTTAATTTAATATTATGTTTAAAGTTTATTATTTTCATTAGAATATCTATTTTCTTGAAGAAAACTTTCTGTCTTTTGATCTTTTATCATAGTCACTAGAATCTTCTGAGCTATATTTTCGATTTCTACTTTTCTTGTGAGATGTTTTATGCTTTTTCTTGTTATAACTGTCATATTTCTTTTTGTCAGAAGCATCATATGTTGATGTCCTGTATTTATCATGTTTTTCTTTTTCTTTGATTTGATAATTCTTAATTCCCAATTCTCTTTCATGTGTCTTTTCCCTTTTAACTATTGTCTTTTCTTCAATTTTTATCTGTGTTTTATGTACATCACTGTTTTCACATGTACTGTGTTCTTGTTTCTTGTATGCATCATATTTTTTTGAATCTGTAATAAAAGAGTTTTTGTAAATCATTTAATCATTTATAGGTTCCAAATTTTTAATTTACTTAATACTCTTCCATTTCTCTCATATTCTGCTTTACTAATTGGCTCTACCATGAATCCATTCAAAGAAATTCTGCTACCACCAAGGGCCATTTTAATAAATAATCTTCCTGAATCATCAAGCCCTTCAATCTGCATAAATATTTTAATAATAAACATAGTCAATTTATGCAAACTATTGAGCAAAACTATGTATTTTCATAACCACAAAATAGTTCGATGAAATGCAACTATATACATAAATCACTCGAATTAATGTCATTTATATTTTAATAAAATGTTGGTTAATGTAAATTTAAAACCTAACTATTTTGAATTGAAATACTACCTGGCCATAACAGTCTACATGCTTGCCCATCACCACTTTAACAAAAGCTCCCTTTTTTATTTGTAAATCTTCTGGATTTGTATTATTTGTCGCACTCTTATTTGTGCTTTTTGATGTTGGTCGATCTGCTCCCAGTCCTAATCCTTTCGGTCTTAGTTCAGGTACCCTTACTTTGATTTGCCTGATGTCAACATTTAAATAATTATATTGATGATTATTCTAAAAATATTTGGGAATCGATTTGTTAAAAATAAATTTATTTTTAAATTTGCATACTTACTCATTACTTTTACCTATTCCTTTTCCTTCTTTCCAACCCATTCCACGGAGCATGGCAAGTCCAAAATCTGCTATGGGAATATTATCATAATCATCTAAAGTTGACTGAAAAATTACGCAATTTATTCAAGTTATATATATACATACATATATATATATATATATTAGGGTGGTCCTTAAAATGGTCATTTTTAAATTTCCTTGCTCCCAGGGGCTTAAATGTTTCCAAATAGATAAAAAACAATTCTCTGAAAGGTTTAGCTCTTAATATTAACGTTAGATAGAGCGCAATTCAATCAAAGTTTGTATGGAAAGAGCATGAAAAAAATTTTGAAAATTTTAAAAAAGTGTTTTAGGTATAAGTTAGCGACAAATGAATGAGTTTTATTTATTCATTTGTTTGCTAAATTACATCTAAAAAACATTTTTAAAATTATTGAAAATTTTTCCATGCTATTTCCATATAAAACTTTGATTGAATTGCGCTCTATCTAAACGTTAATATTAAGAGCTAAAACTTTCAGAGAATAGTGTTTTATTTATTTAGAACCATTTGAGCCCCTGGGAGCAAAAAAATTCGAAAATGACCATTTTAGGGACCACCCTAATATATATATATATATATATATATATATATATATATTTATATATTTATATATACAGTGGTGTTGTGCAAATATTTTTTTTGCCGGAACGCTAAAACCGGTTCTCATGTTTGTTTTGGTTTTGATCGAAAAGTAAAGAAACAAAAGTTATTGCAAAACAAATTTTATGCACATATATGTATGCTTCTTACAATAATAAGAATATTTAATAAAAATTAGTTGAATTATAATTTATAAAATTCAAGTCGTCGCGTTCCGGCTTGACAACACCACTGTATATATATATACATATATATGTTTCAATGTCGAACAAAAAATCCTCAATATATATATATATATAATATATATATATATATATTATAGCACATATACACCTAAGTCTGTTTTTACACGGTCTTTTTGTACACGGTTTTGATATAACACGGTTTGAAAATTGAATATTTTTAATTTTTTTACACGATTTTATTCCATTTAGAACAATTTAAAATTTTATGTACTTAAATTTTTTTTGTCAAATTTAATTTTTGCGAAGTATGTTCATATCACAAAAAAGTATTTATGAAAGAAAAAGTCTGAAACCATCGATAGTATCGATAGTTTGCGAACACTCGCTTAAGGTTTGAAAATTAATATTTTAAATTTTTTACACGATTTTATTCCATTTAGAACAATTTAAAATTTTATGTACTTAAATTTTTTTTGTCAAATTTAATTTTTGCGAAGTATGTTCATATCACAAAAAAGTATTTATGAAAGAAAAAAGTCTGAAACCATCGATAGTATTGATAGTTTGCGAACACTCGCTTAAAGATTTAAGTGAATTCCCCTTTAGCGCGTACAAACAATTTTTACTTTGATTTTTTTTTATTATATTTGATTTAATAAAATAAACATGAATTCTTGTTCTTAAAAATTCTTGTTTTTCACTAATTTTAATAGGTTTTAGAGATTAGGAACAAATCACCCATTTTTGTATAAGATCAATGTCTTTTTTTAAACTGTTTTTTTTTTTTACACGGCTTCTTCTGGAACCAATCTCCGTGTAAAAACAGACTTAGGTGTATAGAAATGCAGAAACAACAAATTTAAACAAATATTTACCTCATTTACACTTTGTGTAGTTGTTTCATTAGGAAGAGGAACTTGAAATATTTTGACCTCACTGGTTTGGGCTTTATTTAAATCTTTAATAATTTCATTTGCTGCTAACATATCTAAAGAGCATTTGCCCATTTTTGAACTACCACTATTTTCATTCAATTCTTTTTGAACAAGAGAATTATTTATTTGGTTTGATTCTTCTTTAATAGCATTAATTAAATTAGAACTTTCTTTAAAATCTTTTTGACCAAGTGAATTATTTATTGGATTTGATTCTTCTTTAATAATATCAATCAAGTTAGTAAGTAATTTCTTATTTTGCTTCATTGGAATTATCAATGGCTCCTTTTTATGTTCACATTCATTTCTGTAAATTATCAAAATAGATTCATTATAAATATATATTATAAATCAAACAAAATCAAAATTAATTAGTTTAAGTCGTCCATAGTATTTAATTTATCTTTCCAGCTACATGCTTTAATAATGTTTGTAAATTCAATTATGGCCATAACAATTTAATTACATTTGTTTGTACACATATATGTAACACAAATAAGTAATGAATGATTATTTTTACCTTACAACTTTTATTGTTTTTGACTCAATACAATCTATTAGTTCAATATTTTCTTTCTTGACGTTAGAATTGATTAAATCTGGCTTTTTTATTATTTTTGAAAATCCAAATGATATTTTTTTGGGTTCCGACATCGTTTTAATAATTGGTCATGCAAATATGAAATAAAATACAGAACAACTTGATCAATGACAGCTATACTTGACAGACAGATAAACGGAGAAACCATTAAAATTTACAAATGTTGCGAAATTCACACATTTGGCGGCGCTACATGTCGTATATCTTAAATTCGATTGGCTACCGATACAGTCATAGATAAAAGAAAAGTATGGATGAGTATGGATACAGTCATAGATAAGTAAACTTATACAGGATACAGTAGTATGTTGGTAAACTTAAGTAAACATAAAGTAGTAAACATAGATAAGGAAAGGTAGTAAATGCAGATACTGGTAGGTAACATGGATAAGTAAGCATAAAAATTACAAAGGTGTTACAAAAATAATAAATAAACGTTTTTGCTTTCACTAAAAACTAATCAATGCAATTTTCAATTATTGTATAAACATTTTAATAACCACTTTTTGTATGTTGTTTAAGAAGGTCTTTTGTATTATGATTTGTATCATTGTGTAAATTTTAAAGTAAACCTGTAAGTCAATAGATTAGAGAATTATATGTAACTGCTTATGAAATAACTCTATTTCATATTTTTTATAATGAGACTAAGAATTGTAATCAATTGTCACCATACAAAGTATCAATGAAATGAAAAAAACTGTTAATTTTGTTTTTAAACATAAAGTATAATTATCGACTTAATATTTACTGTAAAAATGTATATACAAAAGACAAAACAGTGTTTAATGCAGCCTAATGACTTATGCTTAATTCTAATATGCATTTAAATGAGTAAAGACTAATTTTGGATGCTTGCATAAAAATGAGAAATGTTATAAAACCACTGCTTTGAAATCTATTTGAGAATTTCTTTGTAAATATTCAGTAACACAAAAGATATAAATGTTTATAACTTATTTTTAATGTTACTGGAACATTATGAGTTGATATGTTAAAGATATAAATAGAAGAAAAACAATATGCAATTTCTATTCACAGCTTATTTAATTTTAATATAATATATTTTACTTATGTTATAAACCGATAAAACATTGTTTAATGATATTTACATATTATTAAAGATCAGACTATCTTTAATGTAGCATTTCATATTATATATGAATTATTAACGAAGCACTTTCACATATATGAAATATATCTTTATAATAATCTTAATGCTATTAATGTTTTTCACATAACTTCACAATATCAATGTAACATGACCTCTTTCCTCCAGACATATTGAAATTCAATTAATTAATATTGGCAGATACTAATAAGAAATTGTGTAGATCAAATTCTAAGCTGCCACAAAAATGCATAAATTGCTATATATAAGTATTTTCCTGCATAAGAATTTGATATGTTATTTAATGCATGAAAAAATACTAATTGAATCCACTACATTTTCATGTAATCCTATTATGTTCTTATAAGGTATTTTGAACTTTAGCATCATCTGCCATTTCCAGATTTAGTTATAAATAATTTAATTTAAAATCTAAAGACAAGCCCACAAAATTAACACTACAATCAAAACATCATTTTATTCAAATACAATAGTCTGTTTGATAATATTTGTTCAATATGTAATGGAAATATCGTTTACGATTCCAAAATCTGTTTGCAAAATTTCTTAACTATTTGTTCCAAATATTAAAGTTGTTGAATATGAAAAAAAAAATATAAACTGAAAATCACATTATATGTATCTTTAAAAATATAAATATTTACAACCTTTAAAATATAGAAATTTTTAAATATATTTATTATCAACTAACCAACTTTTCATATTGATTTTAACATGAATGATATCAATATAAAATATAAATTCAGCTATACATATTTTGAACAAATAGTACACAATTAACTATCAAGTTTTCTTCTTTTTTAATTCAATTGTTACTTTATATTGTTAATTTCCACTGTAATTAAAATATTATGCATTTTCTAGATATAAGAAGAATTCAAAATGTGAGATTTGTTTATGAAAATTTTACCTATAGTCACACTGATGAAGTCATATATCAGAATCAAAAGCATACAAATACAACTAGATGTATGACAGTATTTTAGAAATATACTTATATAGGTTCACTTAAAAATGATAAATACAGCCGGTTTCACATTTAATTAAACTGATCTGAACAAGCTTTTAAATAAATGACCGTGATATAATTATGATTCTAAAAATAACTTGTATAAGTATTTATTTGTTTTGGTTGAAATAAAATATGTATATATAAAAACGAATTATTCATTATAAATGATTTCATATCAGTATAAAAATTTAACTTATTTAAAAGAATGTTCAGAAGCATCTATTATATAAATTAGAATTGTAAGTGGGCTTTATTACTAAATATATAAATATTTTTATCTCTTAAGACTGGCAACACTCACTTTTTTAACATATTTGAAGTTCAATTTATTATAGAATATCTACAATTAATTAAATATATATAAATAGCGTGTGTGTGTGTTGTGTACAGCGAAAAACAAAACCTTTTAAATTTACATATTATTTTTGATTCCAATTTGTAGCAGTATATTCTATGTTCATAACTCTTTGTCAATAAATACTTAATATAACTTTTCATAAAATTTAGTTTTATGATTTAATCAATATTTTATAGCAATTGTGAAAAAAAATGTATAGTCCTAATTTGAGAATATAAAAATATAGTTTATAATTAGTGCAAAACAAAATATCACAAAACTGAAAAAACATAGTATTCTATTTTAAAATTAGTGACCAACAAACGAAAACACAGTATATGCCGGTAAATAACAACCTTTTTTTTTCCAATAAACTTAAAAAAACATTTACTATTATGAAAATTTCTAGAAATATTTTAGAACAAACTTTATTTTGACTATTTACAATAAAATTTATTTGTTTACGAGTCCAAAGATTATCTAAAAATGCAACTTAGGTTTTCTACAAAACAAAGCTTAGAAACATTGTATTCACTACTACATAACAAAGATTGAATGAGCACATTGTATAAAATTGCTTAAAAATTGTAAATGCATTCAGTTTATAAGAAATGAGAACTTTACAATCACAAAAATAAGTTTGAGAGGATCACTAAATGCAACTAGACCTACTTCAACCTTACTCACATCAGAAACAGGTTGATTCAAAAAATGTTCTCATTAATTATATACTCAAATATTTTACAATATTTGCAGTGTAGGCCTTTAAATTAGACAAATTGTAAAAAAATTTGTCTAATTTGTGAAGTTTTGAAGTATTTAATATTTATAAACTCATTGATATACAAACATAGAATGTTACTCAAACAGAGAGAAGAAGTAGAGTTTCTTTATCGTATCTTAGATTAATTAGCTTCAAAACATTCTTGCACTGTCACACAACTCAATATGAAATATTTTTATGACAATATTTTAGGAAAGTTCATGTGCAATGTGAACGATTGGAAATGATTTTTTTTAGCGTAGTAACAAAATATTAATGGTCAGCTATAGAATGTGCAATAATTGACAACAGTATTAAATAAATCAGAACAATGATAAAAGAAAGCTTTCAACAATGTCCACACATTTAGACTTCAGAACAAATTGAATAATGACGCCAATTTTTACTTCACTAACATGGTCCTTATAAAATATATTCTAACTGCAGCTAAATGTACTGCTTCAATGAAGTGACGACGCCGAAAGCAATATAAATATTTCAAACTCAGTCACATGAAACTCACAAGAACATATACAGATTTGGGGTCTGAATGTCGGCTATGAAGTATTATATTATAATGGTAAAGTTGGTGTTGGGGTTAATACGGAGGAACACCGCGCCAAATAGTCTTGACTCGGATTGCAATGACTTTGAAGGACGCTATCTCTAGAGTTAGAGTGCGAGTGGGAAGTCGCACGTAAAAGAGTAACTGCCTCTCGTTCTGGACTGCACTGCACAACTGCTGATAGTCATTTTTGACGATTACCTTTTTTCTTCTTTCGTTTAAAGAAACAACAACATCTGCAATAAATACATTTATAAATATCATACATACACAGAAGGTTGAAAAAATGCCACCCAAGTTCCATATTAGTAGTTAAAGTATTATTCATCAAAAATAACAAGATGCACTACTTTGCCTGAAGTATGTAATTTGTAATATAATATTAGTATAGGAGGCAGCAACGTTTTCAAAACTAGAACTTTAGGCATGCTGATTTTTTAGTATGTGAGTCTATTCGAAGTCAAAAAAATGAAAATTGGATTAACTTAAATGCTTTCAAAATTTTGAAATCGCGCTGTACAAGTTGGCTGCGCACTAATAAACGCAACCACTTCCAGCTGCCAGACAGTACGTACTCTCCCGAGAGAGCACCAAGAACCACATACCAAAAAACCAGCCTGCCTAAAATTCTTTCTCGAAAACGTTGCTAGCTGCCGAACCATATTGTTTGGCTTTGTCATAAGCTGCATAGACGCGATCGTTTTTTTTTTGTTTATAAGTGCGTAACATAAGATCCCATAATACATAAATGTGTATAAGGTCTATGGTGTGTATGAATTATTAAAATTTCAAGATTTTGTTGCTAATTAGCACTTTTCTGCCAATTACAAAAAACATCTTCGACGATCGTCGCGCTGGTAAACTGATAAACACGATTATCAAGTTCAAATACAATGGCTTTTCGATTTTTAAAATTGATCCAGTTGCTTTTGAGACAGATCAATATCGGCTCACACACACATATAAATATACCCACATAATTTTTCCAAAGTTTGTCTCAAACAATTCAAAATGACTTGAAACCTCAAAAATACGATTGGTATGTCTGATTTTTTTTTCTGAAAACTATCTTCTCCTTCCAGAATATTGAGAATATTAAATATTTTTTTATTGATATAGTTTCACTTATCGAAAAGAAAAGAAAATAAATCGATATCATACTTAGTTTCATCACTCGGAACTTCGACTGTCGTCCAATGTTGTTCTGTAATAGGTGTATTGCTGTGACCTGCTGTAGGATCATCTGGATTCAATTCTCCATTTGTAGAACTAATGACCTGAATTATTTATTAATCATTAGAAAATTTCGCAAAACATTAATTATTGATTTAAATTTGGTTAGGTACTTGTAGTTCATATAATATAATGTTGAATATAGTTAATATAACATGCAATAAAATCATGCACTAACAAGCACAGGATGATAAAAGCCTTGTGTAATAACGAATGTAGAAGTTGTCACCTATAAAGCTGTAAGCATTAGTATATATATAATTCACAAAGTTTATGAATTGAAAACTAATGGGTTGCAAATGATGTAAAACTTGAGAATGAAATGTGTTCAAACAAAATATTTTTACCTGTATATATATATATATATATATATATATATATATATATATATATATATACGTACATTCATATGTTATACCTTCCAACTAAATCATACACATGCAGGACAGTTATGATGATAATTTCAGATATATATCTTCGTACAGTACTGAAATAATAGTATAATGATAAGCATGGCTATCTGAAACAATATAATAATAAAAATACCATATCATTTTTATATGAACCACTTCATTCGTCCAGAATCTTATTTCAACAATCAAATTTTGCCAATAAACTCATTTTTTTCACGATTTTTGAATACATAATTCTCACACATATATACATAATTGATTTTTTTAATTAGTCTAGCAGCAGATGACGATATTTTAATAAATTTAATGGAGCATTCATATTTAACAAAATACAATTGATATTCAAAAGTAAATAAATGAAAAGATCATTCAAAATATGAATAGATAATATGAAAATCAATAAAAAAGTAACACGTGACTATTATTAAAGAAAAGTATGTATGAAAACATATGTGAAAACTAAGTGATCGAACAATTAGTTATCTGATTAACTAAATATTTGTAATATTTGTCCGTTATTTTTGGTATATATCTGGTAAATGTGACCTCAGTTTAAATTCTGAAAAGATTACCATCAATAATAATAAGTAGTGTATTTCATACAAATTTATTTACTTAACGAAATCATGTGACTTCCACCACCTATTTAATATAGCTAGTAAACACTAAAGAAACTTAATGGCAGTAAAAATTCAAATGGCAAATGGAAATACCTACACCAACGATTACAAAATCTAAACAAATAACTAAATCAGTATATATGATTTATAACTTAGTGACCAACTTATAAGGATTTGGAAATAAAACAAATCAAAACCGCCGATCTAAATGAGTAGCAGTGATTTAAATAACAGCAAGTGCAGTGTATGTAGTTTCTATTTTTATTTTCTATTTTATTGCATAAAAGCGAGTAATAATAAGTCTAATAATTTAAATTAAGGGATAAAAATTGAGGGGTTATTGATAAAATTTAGCTGCTAAACCTAAGTTACAGATAAGTGGTGATTCAAATTATAAAGAATACAAAAATTCACAGCATATAATATACCACTATCAAATTGGGTTCATTGATGATTGAATAACAAATCAAATGTATAATTGATACTCACACCGATTTTTAATGATAAAAAATAAGAAAATCCGCATTTTAATAATGAAAAAAAAAACTAAATATTCATATAGATAGACTCTTCTTTTCAATGTATGTAATTTTTAAGTTTCTTAATATATATATATATATATATATATATATATATATATATATGATTGGATTACACTGCAAAAATAAAAGTACTTTTAAAAATAAAGATGAGACTTGAGCAGTTTCTAACACCAGCATTTAGAGAATGCCAAAAATCACAAATAACCGAGAAGGAATAGTTGGTCACAGTTCTACTACTGCGATAGCTATGTTTACAGACAAAAGACACTGTACGAAGTCTTCAAATGTTAAACTCTACCTGAACGGAGCCATGCCTGTCTGCTGGCGTTAGATTTCCGTGTGCGTTCGTTTGTTTGTTGGGCACATCCGGCCATGCAGCGACACCAGTTTTACCTCCTCCCTTTGTTGATTTTTGAGAATTTGCAAAATGACATTTTGATAAAATTTTGTTGAATGTTATGTTAAATCCAAAATAGTTGTATGAATCTACATATATTTATGTTTACAGTTACCAAATGGTTCGAATGATAAAAATTGTTATAAAAGCATGTGATGCATGATATAATTCTGAAATTATATTATTACCCAGACCTTCATTCTAAAATTTTATCTATAAAGGCCCCTTATAAATAATTATAAGCAGAAATTGAGGAATAATATTTTGATTTTATTTTAAAAAGAATAACATGCAAAACGTCAAGATCAGTGATAAGGTGCAGTTACATTAAATTTGTTATTCAAAAAAATAAAGAAAATATCTGTCATATCACATTTTTAAACAAACATTATACATGCAGAAGTGTTGATGAACTCTTTGAAACATGAATGCAAGCACATTATATAAATTTCATAGTTTATTCGACATTGAAAAAAAAAATTAGGCATTTTACGCCTAATTAAAAAAAAAATTACGAGACAATTATTTATACATTTCAATCACTAGATATGAGGTATCATTTAATCAAGTCGCAAATTCAACAAAAGTAGATTTGATTTGATCAATTCGACGTATATACATATAATAAATATATATTCAGTAAAAATGTACCATTATTAAAATTTAGAATTGAATATCCTAATTATACCAACTGATACTATAATAAATATTTTACATTTTGTTTCGGCAAATACAATAGAGTACGCATGCAAAAAATATCGCAGATAAATTGGTTAGAATAGTAGTAGAAAATATATTAAATAATATTATATAAGTGCAATAATTGAATGAAGTATATGGTTAAAAATAAGTTTAGTCGAACAAAAACCTTAATTCATTTAAAATCTTGTTTACACCCATGTAACCAATAAAAGATAAGTAGCAAATCTTTAATCTCAATTATTTAAACCAGATTAATAAAGAAAACGATTACCGATTGTTTTAAAAATTAAATTAAAATTAAAATAACAGACATATTGACAGCATACAAAATACATATTTAATAATTATATATCAAACAATTCTTACACAAATTAAAATAGTGCATTAATGTATAATATTATGAAAGGTACAAAGTGTTATCACAATTAGCACGGTTAGAGAAGTCAATATAAAGAAAGATTAAAAGTTTAATATCAGTGTTTGCTTACTTTATTTGCGGCTAGATGACGTTCACGGTTTGGCGAAACCACAATGTCCTGTCCAGTTTGTTGAGATCCTACAGGAGTGGACTGAAAGAATATTCAAATTAGATTCTTATATTTAATATCATTAAACAAATACTACATTTTAATATAAATTGCAAATAGAGGAATCATGATGTGTAAATTTTACAGCGTGCTTCACATACAATTATTCAACAAGTGCTTCATATTAGACATTCTGTGCTTGAGTTCACAAATAATAATATCGAATTAATATTAATCTATCACATATAATACTTAATTAAAATAGTCTTTATGTGTCAAAAACCTGAACATAAAACAATTTATTCTAATTATAACAATTTGAAGATATTTTAATAGATGTACATGAATTTTAAGCAATTCATTTATAATTGCCGATCAAAATGACAATATTGAATAGAAATTTGTGAAAATTCATAGTATAATATAGTATAAGAATATCACATGATCAGAACATAAATAACAAGTTATTAGATTGTATAAAAATTAACAAATATGCAAATATCTTCAAATGCTAAATTGTTAAATATAAAATATATAAATTTTGGATTTTTTATATACTAGATATTATATTATACCCAAATAGAAGTGATAATTATAAGTTAAAATGTATAATGGTCATCGGCAATGACAACAAATGATTGGAAGTAGAATTACCTTGCAAGATTTAGTCTTTAACTCGTTTGATGGATGTAAATTCTTGTAAATTCGTAACATAGCTATATTGGCAGGCTGAATATAAACAATATGTCATGCAGCATGCAAACAAATAAAAGTACTCAAAAGATCAAAATAATTATGAACAGACATTGACTTGAAATTGTAATTATAACATATACTAATACAAGATATATGGCATGCAAAAATCACATTATAACGTTAAGTATATATAATATGTATATGCATACACAAACACACACGTGAATATATATCAAACAATGATAAGCGGTTTTTTTGTATTTTTTCCATTTATTTCTACAATCTGACTATATTTCTATAATCACAACATCTTAAAAAATTCCCCTAACAAACTTCAAAAAAATCCGGATAATCGTTCAGGAGGACTATCCTTTCATACATCATTACAGAAGAAATTTATTATGTATATAAAAGACAGAATTAATAATATTCATTAAAAAAAAATTTATAAAATTATTACAAAAATAGCATGATTTAAATTTCGGTGCAAATCGATAAAAATCAAATACATTACTCACAATAGTTTTGCCAGTCCAATCAAATTCGCCGTCGTCGACATAACCGCGTCTGTCGAACAATTCTTGAAAAAGTCGGCGCAAATAGTCGTAATCAGGAGCCTCAAAAAAGTCTAAACGCCTTACATAGCGTAAGTACATAGCCAGTTCTTCGGGATGTCCCTCGCATAATACCTGTAAAACATTTCATTTTCAGTACAAATAATGACGAAAGTGGGAAAAATCATATCGATAATTTATGATTGCTCTTCGTTAGAAAAAAATATACATTAATTGTATTGTTTATAATATCATAAAAATAGACCACGGTACCTCGATCGGTGTGGCTCTCTTCGTATCGCCAATTTTTTGGTAGCGCTCCTTGAGCGTGTCTGCTTTTAGCCCTTGCCAAGGTAACGATCCGCGAAGAAAGTACATAAACATATGACCTAACGCTTCTAAATCGTCTCGCCTAGATTGTTCTAAATATAAATAAATATAATGTACTGTGACAAGTTCCGTTTTCTAAAACTGATTCAAAGTATAATACATTTAAAGTCCCGCTTTTTCAATGGATATAAATAATTGCAAATTAATTCGGTTACGTAAGCATAATTTTTGAAAGATTATACTGCTCTTACCTTTTCCCAAATGTGTATTAATTGACATATACCGAGCTGTTCCTGTTAAAGACTTATGTTCCCGATATGGTATATGTTTATTCGTATCTAAATCTATGTATTCTTTCGCTAATCCAAAATCTGCAAAAAAAATTTTTTCTTCAATTACAATATTTGTTACAATAATATACCATCTAGCATTAATGATAAATAATAACATAAATTTAAATAAATAAGAGTACACATCTGCAAAAAATGACTGATAAAAAGTTCTGTTTATTTATATTTAAGATCTTACCTATTATGTGTATAATTTTTTCTCTTTTTGTTGTATTTCTTCCTATTAAAAAATTTTCAGGTTTAACATCTCTGTATATTAAATGTCTGCCATGAACATATTCTATCCTATGGAGCTGAAAAATAATAATTTGAAATAATTGTAGACATACATAATGCATTAAATAAAAATGGAATATATTCAAATAACAAAAACATATTTTTGAATATCAAATCGTCATCATAAAAGTTTTAATTAAATGTAAATTTTTGCGAACAAATAATAGAACTTTTTTTCTAAAATTTGTTACTTTTCTACAAACATGCTTTTAAAATTAATAAATATAGTAATATCATTATATCATGACATAGACGAACCACATATTACTGCACGTAACAAACTACAAATTTAAGCAAATCGATAGCACCAAAAATTTGGAAAAATGAAGTTCGTATTTTCGATATTGTCTGTTTCTAATTCAGTATCGCTTAGTACACCGAATAAGAACTATGTTATGAAATCATTAACCAATACGTTTAGTAAAAATTAGTAATAAAAATGAGATGTTGCTGAACTTGAAACGGACCAGATCCATTGCAAACGATTACTTTTTTAAGTCTTAGCCAAAACCTTATTTTTTCCATACTGTATTTAATATTTAGAAAAACGTAACCTCTCACCCGATGACTCAATGAAAATACCTGATCATTCCTACAAATATAATCTTGAACAAGACTTCTGCTTGAATATTTGCAATAATGAAAACCTATTTTTCAAAATTGCAGATTTTTTAGCAACTAAGAATAAGTACTTGTCCAAAATACCAAAATTAAAAACACTAAACTTGTTTATTTCATAGCTTAAATGATTTGCTTGCAGTTGAATTCTAACACGATTTTATCATGGGCGTTTTGTATAGACAAATAGTTTTTACCGACGATTAGATGAGCCAACAATCTTTCACCATCACTACTTACAAGTTGAATAGCTATCATGAGGACGGTCTTCAATGTAAATCGTCTGCCGCAAACATCAAATAGGTCCTCCAGTGACGGACCGAGAAGCTCCATCACCAATGCATTGTATTTCCCGCATGGGCCGAAGTAATATACCTCGGGTACGCCCTCAGCTGGTTTTATGGGATTCAATATAGGCAAAACAAAGGATTTTAAGGAATTTTTTCGTAATGGCAGGAAAGTAGCAACAGTGAAAAAAGCGCAAGGTTTAGGAATAAATGCAAGTACAATTAAAAAAATAGATAGTGAATAAATTTTATATTCCGTAGAAATATGTTTAGAATAGTGAAGTTAACGATTATCAAGTGAAGTAAACAATAATCCAAAATGTGATAGTAAAAGTATTTTCAAGTAAAAAAATAGTAGCAAATAAATAATGTAAAGAGCGTATTGAAGAAATGAGCGCCATTCAAGTAGTTATCATCGTAACATATGCGATTTATTTCAATATGTGCGTTCCAAAAAAAAAAAAAATTTAATAAAAAAAAGTTTTTCGGAGCGTTTCACATGAATGAAGTATAAGAATGAATAATAACAAACAGTGCACATTATTACGTATTAACAATTTATGCAGATTTTTGACACGAATCAACAATGAGTTAGAAAATAATGAGCAATTGCAAGGCAGAAATATTGAAATATCAGAAGCGGGTTTGTACGGAGTCGGTCGATGGTGAAGGAGGGAAATCAAAGGAATGAACGAACAAAAAAATAAATCTCAATTAGATCTTTGCTTATTGTACGATACAATAGTTAAAATTAACGATAAATATACACCCTAAAAACAGACATAGAACTCGTTCCGGCGTTGTTCCGACCACAAGATCCTAAATCTACAAAATATAAATTAAACTCCAAGATATTATTAATAATAACAAGAAAAAATGGGAATGGGAAGCTATTGTATGACCGTGGAAACTCTTTTGTTTTAGGAAGTCCGGGCCAGAGTACTGCGATGTGATGTGTAAAAATTGCAAGTAATTTTATTTTACTATCTTTTGGTCTCGCATATATGTATGTGTTTCTTACATAAAGTTTAATTTGACATTCACACAGAATTTTATGTGCATATTACACACACGCATATATATATATATATATATATATATATATATATATATACATACATATATAGTATATATAATTGCAAGAAAGCTAATAGTAGATTAGATGACTTCATAGTAATATACAGACAGATCGATGATACGAACTATAATACTTTGAAAACATTTTAACTGCCAATTTCAGAAAATGTTCACATTTTGGTGCAATGTTGTGTTACGTAGACAAAAAGTTAAATTATAATTTGAAATGTTATTTGTATCGTGCTCTATGAAATCAAAACTAAGTTGTTCTGCACTATTTTTTACTCATGTTTCATTAAAGCCATTTAGTGTATATGTTAAAATTTTATGGTACTTATTAATATGAACTAATTCATTCAGGTTCTGCAAGTACAGTAATTTTGTCAAAAACAAATGGTACAATAGGCGCAGCAAGCAAAAGAAAGGTATAAAATCGTTTCAATAATCAACTTTTTTATACAATACTAGCCACGATTCACGAAATTATTTTCGAAAATTAAATAACTGTAATTAACATATAAAATGGAATGTACCACCGTAAGATAATAAAGTAAACCACGTCTTTGATAATTAGATCAATTAAATTTCAAGTGTTATCTTTATGTACTGTCTGTCAGTAGTACCAATTATATTCTTCATATTTTAATTTTAACTATAGTTTTAAAAAAATATATGTCTCACTATATATAATAATCATAATAGATGATAAATGCTATACAAAAATATCATAAATACATGTAATAAAATAAAGCAATTAAATGATTATATTAAAATAGATTATTAGCAAAAACATATAAACGGCACACAAACAAGAAATTAAAACAATACATGAAAAGCAAGATGATAAAACAATAAACAGAATTTTCTTACCGGCTTAATGAAATTTGAAAGCAAACACACATGATTCATATTCGTCGGAAAACAATACTAGCAAAGCAACAATTTTATGATCAAAATGGATCTGGCCAATAGTTACTAATGAATACTAGTGCATTATCATTAAAATTTCTAACGTTGTTAATAAATAGTACAATATTATAATCTTTCATTGGGATAACATTTTGATGTATATGCTCGTTCTTTAACACCTTGAAGGCCGCATGGCCACCGGTATTACGGGACCGCTTGCCCACCGGTGGACTGGACACACGATATGGGTTATCTGAAATAAACAATTTTTGGAGCGGTCCCCACGAGTAAAGCACGATTTTTGATACGGTCTTCGACGTGTTAAATTATTTACACAATTTCAGATTGAAAACAAGTTATTAGTTTCAAGCTGATGTTACTCAAAATTACAACATTATTATTTCATTGAAGGCTATGTCCAAAAATTACAAAAAAATACAGTAAGCTTTTCAAACCTATTCATTAAAAAAATTAGTTAAAAAATAATATGCAATTATTTAAAATCAGATCCATTTCGACCGCAAGTACATCATTCCATAAGTAGCACTGACCCATAGATAGAATTTTATTGATCCATGATATAGGTAAAAAGATGCATCAACAAATCACATACGTATGTGCGCGTTTCTACGACTGTACAACACAAAAGAAAAAACGCATCACGTCGGCAGCACTTCTGGCCAATATGTGCGGACTTACTAATTGTTTGGCGATCATGAGCACAGTCTTGAGATGAAATTTTCTGTTGCATATGACGAAAAGATCTTCTAAAGATGGTCCCAGAAGTTCTAGCACCATTGCGTTGTATCGGCCGCCACACGTTCCTAAGTGATAGACGCGCGGCAAACCTTCCACCGTCGCGGGAGCTGATTTTTAGTGGTTAATATAATTCAAAGTGCGGGGTAGAAACTACATTAGGTACATTACACAATTGAAACGAGTGCCTTAAAACTTATATAAACTATACACATTATATATATATATATATATATATATATATATATATATATGTATATATATACAATTATAAAATATAGCTAGAAATAGAGCAAAACTCATCAAAAATGACGATAATTTTTGATGAAGTCTAATTCATTTTTAATGTCAACAAATTAGCATATCAAGCAACATATTTCATAATTAAACTATTTAAATTTAGGGCATTCTGAAACTTCTCGTAAATGAGATACGGTAGACTAGGAATTAGTTGTCACAAATATCAGATATTTTTCTTCAAAAGCGATATAGAAGTATTGGAGTCTTTATATTTTACTGCAAATAAAAATTTATGACAAGTAAAATAAAATTTAGTGTGTAATTTGCATTATCGAAAAACTCCAAAAGTTGATAGGTATTGACTGAAGTTAAGGGGGGCGATACATGTAATCGCCTTAATTTTTACCATTTTTTGAGGACTTTTTAAACTGGGAAGGAATGACTGAATCTTTTTGAACTTTTTTAGTGTTATTTATTATATATTAAAATACACAAAAAAAATTTTTTTTTAATTTTTTTTTTTTAAATGGCTGCCATAAAAATAAATCTGCCAAGACCCTCTCGGAAAACGCCATCAATTTGCGGGCGTTCTCACTTTTCGTACGGTAATTTGAAATCAAAAAAATTAGTTTGTACGTGTTCATAAAACATATATCTTCTAGTTAAACCAAAAAAAAAAATTAAAAAAGTCACAAAATCGTAAATTGGCACACATCAGAAAAAAAGTTCGATTTTTCACCTTTTTTTCAATGGTTTTTTTTGGTAAAAGGGTTAATTTTTGAAAATTTTTTTGGAATGTTTGAGGTTTAACTAGAAGCTATTACTTTAAAGTAGATGTGTGCAAAATTTCATTGGAATCGGTTGAGAACTTTTTGAGTTATCCCGCCCGCAAATCTCAAAAATGTCGTTTTGAGAAAAACGCGTTTAAAGTTTTGACACATAGAAACAGATAAGAGTACAATAGCACTCAAGCGTCGAGTTGAGGCGTGGCACTTAAATGAGTTTTTATTGTATAAATAATGATAATTTTGTTTTGAATATTTACAGGCATATTTTTGAGATGTAATTGTAACGATTTATGAAAAAAAAAAATCGATTTTTTTTTCTTGTTACATGTATCGCCCCCCTTAAAGTGGCGACAATTCGAGTTGTAGTAAGCAGTTACTTGTTAATTCGTCCATGTACCCTATTTATAGCAAATGTGTGTTTAGTAATCTAACAATGTTCTAGCACTCGTTATATCATACTCATTCGAAATGCTAATGAGTCATAGCATAATAGTATCGACAAGCGCGACAGGCCGTGCGTTGACACCGCATATCTACACATGGGCAAGTAAACTTCTTCAGCCGTTGGATATATAACAACTGTCTGGGTATGCACCTGCATTTGGGGTTAGCGCCGCACTAATAGGTTGAAGCATTAAAGTTTACAACATTAAATAAAATACTTACAAGTTGAATACATTCAATGTTTTGACTTTAGCACAATAAAAAAATAAATTAGAAACGATTTAGAATGTCATATACCTGCGCCTAAAGTTATATTTATAGAGAAAATTATAGAAAGTGAAACTACTAGATTCTTTAAGTCTATCACGCACTGTAAAATATTTTCAGTAAATCTTTACTAATTTTCGATTCGTGTATTTAATCAGAGTACTAAAAAATAACAAATTTGAAAGTTGAGTTTGAAAAAAAAAACGATAACCGTGCGCAGTAAATCTTTGAACTTTGAACTTTTTTACTGCAACAAAAGATTTATTTGTAGATTTGTCTAACAATGTGATCTGTCAATTGTAATAAAAAAGACGATATTGTTACGTAAGTATACGAAACTTTTAGTATGTTTTAGTGTATCGATCGCGTTTGGTAATGACCGTGATTGCGCACGTACCCGGAAGAAATCTGATCCCTTTTCGATTCTAAAAGGCCTATTTATGTATATGTATATTTGTAGAAACTCAGCGAGTTGCATGTTCTAAAATGAGAATAATTCGCTGATTTTTTTAGAAAAATTAAGACAACAAATATTTACATAGAGCTGTCGCTTAATTTCTGTAGTTTTGCATGGCGGTTTGCATTATCTGTATTTTGCATGGGGAGGATGGTATAAAAGCTATTTTTATAAAATTGCTAAACAAGTAATCCGATAGAACCGATCGTGTTTAGTAAGAACGCATGAAGAATTTTCATTATATGAAAAAATCTTTCGTAGGAGAATTACTAAAAACTTTAAACTACTTAAATGCTCTCAACTACAGGTTTGTATTTAATACATAATTGTGTCAACTTCAAAAACTATTAAATAAAGTACAGGATGTTGCATAAGTTAGTTTAAGTAGTCGATTCAAATTTAATTTGTTACTCAAAATTATTTAATTTAGTGGTGCTAAATGCAAAAAACGTGGCAATTATTTGGAAGATATTTTTAAAAATTAAATACGTTAATAAATACATTTTACTGCTTTTTCATAATTCTTTAAAACTTTAATAAAATCATGCCCTGTACCAAAATATTTTTTCATGGACAACATAGTTGTACGCTACGCATAACTTCAGAACTGTAATTGAATTAGGAAATTATAAAAGGTTTCAGGTCATTACAAAGGTGGTGAGCTAGTGACTTACCGAGTGTTCCTAGAAGCTTGTAAAACCTGTACTCGAGATGCAGCTGTGGCGCCTTCGATTTCATCGGCTCCATCTTGATAGCAACATGCTCATTATTATATAAATTTTTACCTGAAATTAATATTATTTAATCAATTACTGAAATAATAAGTTTTATTTGTTTTTGTGTTTGTAAACCTAACGTATTGTAAAGAATATGCTATTAATTAAAAAATACTAATTTTAGCAAATAAGTACAATATAGTTCACAATCCAACATAAGTAAGACGAGCAAATGAAAACATATTTTCAAAAAACAATTTTGTTTATATATATATATATATATATATATATATATATATATATATATATATATATATGATAGTTTTATCGACGTTGATATATATTTGTAATATTTTTGCAGCCCAATCGTCGAATTAAAAAAAAGATTAAATAACAAAATTATTCCATTAAACGTTTCGACACTTGGCGTGTGTCATCATTCAGTAATCTAAAAAACATTTTATATAAATACAAAGTTGATAATAAACATAAATATATATATATATATATATATATATATATATATATATATATAAATTTATATTTATTATCAACTTTGTAAAAAATATTACAAATATATATATATATATATATATATATATATTAAAAATTACATTTATTGAATATTAATCTAATGGTTTCGTAGTAAACACATAAACGCAAATATCAAACTCAAAATTTGCTTTCAAATATTTTCAAAATGTTTAATGAATTTATTAATTAGTGAGCTTTATTACTATATATATATATAGTATATAGTGTATATATACTATATATATATATATATATATATATATATTACTATATATATATATATTATATATATATTACTATATATATATATATATATAATGGTAATGAACTATTAAATATTTCTATGCCTAGAGGAAATGAATACAGCTGTGTAAATAATTGGTGGAATATTTAAGACGTTTATGAATTTGTAGCAAATAGAACACTCCAATTTTTCCACCTCACAAAAATATGGATATAATGCCAGCGTACAATTTATTTAAGTTATGAAACTAAATTCAAATAATTAGTACAATGTTTCATACTAAAAATGTAATGTATGTAATTTAATGCCCTATGGTTTAGCGCTCTTTTATTTCAACCCAGGTTTTGAAGGGATAAATATGGAAGATGTCGAAAAAATAATGCAAGAAGCATCGCAGTCCTTTTAATGGTGGGCTCAAGGAATGAACTGAACAAGAATAAAACAAAAATGTTGACAGCAGTGATCCAGCGGAAGAGCAAAAAGAACTTTCGATGGTGTTTGTCTAAATGAGTTTGTCTAGCATAACTGAAATAATGGATCAATTCATTGAAAATGTTCTGAATTTTAACAGGAGCTCAAAAGTAAGACGTGGTGTTAAAGATGTCTAACCGTTTAAGAACTTTTAAGAGAACAACAAAAAAGAAAAAGTGAAACGGCATTAGATGCTTTTGTCACAAAAAGGTAAAACACTGAAAACGCGGAAAGTAAGTAGCTAAATATGACTGACTTAGAATTTTATTTGTTTTTTTTGCAATAATATCGTTTTGTTATTTATATTGTTTTTATTTTCACAAGAAATAATAAAGTGATTTGGGCTTTAAGAAATAATTGTTTGGTTTTATTTTTAGTAAATAAACATACTTTATAAACTTAATAACGAATCAACTTCCTATTCCCCTAACCCTAATATTTCCAAGCAAAAATGCCTGGTTGGGCGCTGTTTCGCATTACGCTCTACTTTGATGGAACGTATTACCCATTGAATATAAATAAAATATTTGTTAATTATTTACAAAGTTTTAACATAAACTGTTTCCCCAAATTATAACACTGATTAAAAAACTGGAAATTTAATTAAATTAAACTATCGAATTTCTGATTGTATCATGAACTGACTTTTATTCATATGCTTTTTGTATTACCTAGTATAGCTCATTATTGGAAAATAAATAAACGAACGTAAGCTAATTGAGTTGAATAAATAAATATTTATTTTCCATAATGAACTTCACTACCATGGATCGTACAGCTGTATGATTGCAAAAAACATAAGAAACGCAAAAATATAAAAACAAAAAAGTCGATGTTCGCTGCTACCAGTGAGTCAGTCAGTCATTCACTCAACCGGGAGAAACGTAACTGTACACAGCAATAATTGCAGGGCAATGCCTGTGCGCGGTCCAGTTGACCCAAGACATTTTCTTATATAAATCTATACTATACTGCCCCAATAGTGATGGACCCGAATTCAAAGCCCTGGACAAATCAACTAATTAATTACATAATATAGATAATAAAAATCGATGTTTTCTGTATGATCTATGATGAATCGATGTAATTTCTATATGAAATTTCTAAATGAAATTCTGAAGCCCTGGACAAATCAACTAATTAATTACATAATATAGATAATAAAAATCGATGTTTTCTATATGATCTATAATGAATCGATGTAATTTCTATATGAAATTTATTCAAAAACGCTATTAAAATTTTTAGCTAAAATCAACCCATTCGAAGGTATTAACGCAAATACATTTGCCATTGCCTATAAACAAATTTGACTGACTTGTATCGCACCCTAAAACCCAAACTCGGTTTAAATTGCTTACTTTCAGTTTATTATAGCAACTTTTATTCTCACGTTTCATACAGCATCCAATTCTCGGGTTTTTCATCCGAACTAATTAAAATATTTAAGCTTCAGAAAAGAGCTATTCGAATAATTTTTTCCTTGCCCAGTAAAGCCTTCTGCAGACCCATATTTAAAAAACACAATATTCTAGCTGTCCCATGCATTTTTCTGCTGGTAACATTATCTTTCATCAAAAACAATTCGAAACTTTTTGATATGGCTTCATCCTCCTCAAACTACAACACTAGACACAAACTTATTAAGACGCACACATATAAATTAGCAGCTCTTTCAATACGATCGACGGTCTAGGTATTCAGCTTATGAATAAACTTCCACTCAATATCCGAAACTTAGACAGCAAAAAATTTCATGCTTCCCTAGTCAAACTTTTTAAAGAATTAGCTTTTTATGACATTACTGAATTTTCTCAATTTGATTTCAATAACTATTTTCTTGCATAATCCTTATTCTTTATCTACGTAGTCTGACCATTTGATCACCTGTACAACCATGTTTTTTTTTATTTTATTGCTATTTTATTAATTTAAATTTTTTACGGTTTTAAATGAGTATAACTTTCAACCTTGTGTAAGAATTTTGAGCTTGACTGGTGGTCAAATTAGACTTTAATATGATGAACTTGATGATGAAGATTGTATTTAATGTTCAAATGCTTTTTTTTCAGTTTTTTTTTCATAAGCGAAGTTTGTGCATTTACTATGATTATTATAAAATTACCATCCTTTTAATATTAATTATGAATAAGCTTGACAAGAGCCTGAAATAATATCTATTATTATTGATTACGGCTCGCTTATGAATAAATAAATAAATAAATAAATAAATATATAATAAAGTTAAATCGGTTAATCAAGAAAATGAATTTTTAACTTGCTGAACCGGTATGGTATGACTAAAATATATTTCAATAATTACGCAATGTACAGTTTTCTTTTCGGGTGTTATACACGATCCAAATTAAATTATGTTAAAGCAAATCAATATATTTGAATATTTGAAATAATGATAATTTCAGAAAATAAAAAATACTACAATTTTATCTATTGAATGATAGCATTGTAGACCACGCGTCAAACACATTAAAAATGAAATATATCAACAATTTATTGCAATGAAATTTGAATAATCTGAAATAGAATATGTTATAAGTGAATATTTCGGTGGAAATACAGCGTGTGAAGAGCCTGTTTCAATGACAACCTGGACTTCGCTAAATGTCTCTATCTACTCGAGAAACCGTGTTTTGAGAGCTTAGCGGACGGATCGATCGCTATGCGGAGGCGGCCGTCGCTCTGCATGTGCGGTTGTATTAGTAGTACAAATGCGAGGCAAAGGACTATAGATCTTAACAAATAAACTAAGAAATAGAAAAAACCAAAAACATGACAAATATATTACATGTCTTAAATATTAAAAGTTACTTTTTGTTAAAAGGTACAACAAATTCATTGCGCATAGAATATCGATTGAAAAAATCGAGATTATAATCGTATATTCATAACATCGTACAAGACAATATTTAGTTGAATCACATCGTTATTAATAATGGTTCTCAGATTGAAGCAAAGAAGTATTTTTGCATTTGAATCTACTCGCGTACATTGTTTAAAAGAGAAGCATAGATAAGGAGAGGAGAAGTTTTTGCGTCCAACTATTAGAATATATAGTCTGTCATTTTTTAAGCTCAAACCGACAATTTCTGAGCTTTAATACAAGTCCAAGCAAATGATTGGACTAAATTATAATTACTATTACTAGTTATTTTAGAACCATGCTACCACTACAAAAACAAAAAATATATGAATATATCATATTCTATTATATGAACATATCATATTCTATTATATGAATATATCATATATCTAATATTGTCTAGGACAAAACTATAAAAAGTCTAGTAACATATGTTAAATATCAATTTACCTAAGCTTGAAGAGTTCATTACATTATGTTAAATAATTAAACCTCTATAGTTCATCATTCGATGTTTGACAGAAATATTGATTACTATATCAATTGCATCAACTGATTGTAAGCTCATCCGTATTTCATGAAATTCCAGTTAAACGTGACATGACGGCATCCTAAACAATTTGGTAGAGCAAATTTTCTTAAATAATTAAATACTATTTGTGATCCGAAAAATGTACAAAAACAAGTGAATATTCAGGTAATTAACAAAACGAATGAAACTAAAGATAAAACAAAACATATATGTTATCACATGATATAGAGTATATTTATTATAACCGAAAAAATAAATTTTTAAACCGGAAAAACTTTAGCTGAAGAAAACGTGAAAGCACAATGCCATTATGATGAGTAACGACCGTATTATTTCAGATCTCTAGGATAACGAAGGGGTTCCTACTGGATGGGTATAAATAGCACCTAGCCAATATTACTAGATTG